ACCGATCCCTCCACCACCATTTCTCTACACACACGCCCCAGTGTTTCTTGTCCAACAGAAATAAGAAAAACCCAGAGGGACATGCAGATTTGAATGAAAAACTCCAAACTGGTCTTTTCCCATCAGAAGCAGGTTACATTACTTCTGTATTGACTCACTTCTCTATGGACTCACTCTGAGTCCTTTCCTCTGTCTATTGTTCTCCTTTGCCTGCACGCAATGTGTCTAGCCCACTGCTGCCAGGTGAACCCCCTGAGAGCACCCCTTTGATTCAGCTGTTGGAAGCACCCTGTGGTCCGGAGAGAAGGGCAACCTCCTGTACTGGCACTGGGTGCCACACCTTTGCAGCGACACCTCCCCCACCTGGCCCAGAAAACCTTTCCTCCGCACTCACCCTCCTGCACTGCCAGCTGTGCCTGTTCACGCTGACACACGCAGAGCACTCACTGTGCACCAGGTGTCCTCGCACGCCTGTGACATAAGACAGCTGGGAAAGGCAGCGGACGACCAAGTCAGGGATCTCAGAGCCTTCATTAGAAGGCAGGGCTGTCTCTTCACAAACTCAACGTGCTTTTCCTGTAGTTTACTCTTCCATCCTGCCTGAGAACACACATCCTCGCTATCTCATGCCTCTTCTCAAAACAACCTTAAATACTCTGTTTCTGGTATTTATTTCTTCCTGAATGGTCGCATCTGCCCACATTCACAATTGCCTCTTAAACTTTGGGGCCTCCTGTAAACCCATGATGGGGGTTGTCTGTTTCCACCTCTCCTCCATGGAGAGGATTTCAGCCCTTGAAGCTAACACTGGCTCCTATGTGTGGAGGTGGCCGAGTTTGGTGGGAGTCCAATGGATCATTATCACCCAATGGATCAGTATCACATCACAGGGCTGCCACTGGCCATCTGCCTCAGGCAAAGCACTGCCCCTACTCAGCTCAGTCTCCGCATCTTTGTTTTTTGTTAATCCTCCCCTGAGGATATTTTTATTGGTTTTTAGGAAGAGTGGAAGGAAGGGAGGGAGAGAGAGAGAGAGAGAGAGAGGAGTGAAGAGACATCAATTGGTTGCCTCTCACATTCACTCTGACTGGGGCTGGGGATGGACCCTGCAAGCCAAGTATGTGCCCTTGACCAGAAATGGAACCTGCGACCCTTTGATGAGCAGGCCGACGCTCTAACCACTGCGAGCAACAGTGGCCAGGGCTGTCTCTTCGACTTTGTAACAACTGTTGTGCCTGCTGAAGATTTGTTCCCTGACCCCTGCTTGACCATGGGGCACACAGTAGGTGCTCTATGCTGCCCGTTTTGCAATCTTCATGGTGCCCAGTCCAGAGCAGGGCTAAAAGAAAAATGTTAAACTTATGGTGAGTATATGATGCTAGACCATTTAGGGAGTGATTAATATGTGCCATATATTTTCCACTAGTTACTTAATTTATTCATTAATTCTGAAAAATAAGAACCACCCCATATTGCAGATGAGGAAACTGAGGCTTAGAGAGTCGAGTTGCTCAGGTTCACCTAGTGGAGGGCCTGGGAATGCAAACTTGGGTTGAACATGACATGAAAGCCTGTGCTCCTAGCCCCTCTCTGGGCCACTTGCTTTCACATGACCTGGTCTTGAGCAGTGAGGCGCTCTTCCCTTCCCAGGGACTGGGGGCAGAGCCGAGCGGTGGTCATGGGTACAGACCCTGCAGGCAGACAGCTTGGCTAAGAACCTCAGCTCTGCCCGCGCCTAGCTGTGGGCCCTGGGCAAGTTACCTAGCCTGTCTAGAACTCAGCTTCCTCATCTGTGAAATGGGAGAGTCCTAACTCCCACCTCCAATGGTTTGGGGGAGAACTTGGTGAGGGAGGCAGAGCCATCAGCAGGGTCATGTGACATGGGGGTGGCTGTGAGCTGTGGGTGGCAGGCAGCCTTCATACACCCTGCTGGGGCTGCCTGGGGTTTCATCGTCCGGCTTCTGGTATCAGCTTCAGAAATTAGCTCTTTTTAGAATGTAACCTTTAACCCACTGGATAAGGAGCCAGCGAGACTTCTGGGTAGAGATGCTGAGGATTTGTTCTCACTGGCATATGGGCCCCTCCGTGCCCTCTCACAGTGGGGGTGTCTCCTTGCAGGCGGGAGCAGCTACTCTTACACCTTGCAAGGCCCCCCTCAGCGATCGGAGCCGGGCACAAGCATCCTACTGAAGTACACGTCCTCCGGATTCCACACGCAGCACGTCACGGTGGCCTGGCTTAAAAACAACCACACGCTGCCCAACCCCCAGACCAGCGTCCACCTCAGCAGAGACACCTACAACGTGAGCAGCAGCGTGCGCGTCCCCCTGCAGGCTGGGGACGTGCGCTCCCAAGTCTTCTGCCTCGTCATGTACAAGTCGAAATTGGCTTTCCAGAAAACCATCAACCTGGACCAGTACCTCCGTGGTAAGGAGCTTGTTTCTCTGTCCAGCCGGGCTGGTTGGGTTGTGGATGCCTCTGAGCCCCGTTTCCTCATCTGAAAGTGGCCCATCCCTCCCTTGCTTGTGGCAAAAATTCAACCCAACAATCCCTGCTGAGCACATGCCTTGCTCATATTAATCTTGCAGAAATGGCCATTGTTGCTTTTTCTTAGTGTTACTATTCACATCACCTCTCAGAACTCAGTTTTCTCATCTGTAAAACGGAGTCAAAATCCTTCCAGGAATAAATCATAAATTTAATTTTATTATTATTTCTATGAAGAGGATGCAAAGGGCTTTGAAACTTCTAAATTGAAGGGGCTAATGATGGCTTCTGATCATTGCCCATTACTTGGTGCGTTAGGCAGGGTCGTGTGACACGGGTGTGGCTGTGAGCTGTGGGTGGCAGGCAGCCTTCTCAATCACTACTGGGGCTCCCTGGGGTTTCTTCATCTGGCTTAAGGGCCTAATTTCTCATCAGATATTTTTGGTCGATTTTTCTGGCCTGAATCAATTCTTGACCGGTGTGTAAATTCCGTGAGGTCATACTATATCATGCCTGGAGGGAGTCTTAGTGGTCGCCCATCCTTAATGACAACTCTAAAGCCTTAGAGAAGGCCAGTGAGTGGCCCAAGGGAGACAGCAGTGAAATTAATTCCTCACATGTCTGTAAGACTTTAAAGTGTACAATATATTTTTCTCTTTATTTTGTGTGCTCTCATCGTGGAAGTAAACACATCACTTTACATCAGACTATTGACACTAACAGCTCAGATGAGCACACACATGGTCAGAAAGCACAGCCATGTGGGTGACTTATTTAACGTATACAGCCACCTGGTACTGTTCATCCCCTTCATAGTTTACGGAAGGAAACAGAGGTTCAAAGCTGTGAAGCCTCCCTGGGTTTGTAGGGATGGAAGTAAACACATCATTTTGCATCAGACTATTGATACTGACGTCTCAGATGAGCACAGCACGTGGTCAGAAAGCACAGCCATGTGGGTGACTTATTTAACGTATACAGCCGCCTGGTACTGTTCATCCCCTTCTTGGTTACAGAAGGAAGCTGAGGTTCAAAGCTGTGAAGCCTCCCTGGGTTTGTAGGGCTGGCGAGTGAGGGGCCTTGAACGTGAACTCTGGCTTGACTCTGCTGCTCTGTAGCTGCGGGATCTCCTGCTAGTTACCTGCATTCTCCCAGCCTCAGTACCTTTCCTGTAACGTAGGGAACTGATCATTCGGGGGGTCCTCCTTATCGGAGTATTTATTATATAGTTCTCTGCAGTTAGGACAATTGTGTAGAGAAGCAAAAATCATAGAAAATGCAGTTTTCACAAATGAATTGATTACTTACAAAACCAGGCCCCACTGAAGAGCCCTTCTTGCTCAACATGGCTTGCATCTCGGGTTGGGTTTCCTGTCACAGAAGTGTCTTTGTGGGTGTCTTTATCTGGGTTCCCCTGAAAGCAGAACCTGCAACCAGGAGTTGGGTACAGGTAGAATAAGGGATGGGGAGAGAGAGACACACAAGAAAAGGGGAGATGTTGAACTGGGTGTCCCTGTGGATGACTAAAAAGGGGAGATATTGAACTGGGTGTCCCTGTGGATGACTGAGTTCAGCGCCACTGGGACTCTAAGGAACTATGGAGAGTGTGTCTGAGGATTGTCCCCACAAAGGAGGGGAGGCTGGGATGGGCCTGCATGAGCTGGGTGGCGTTTCGTGGACATGCAGGAATCCTGAGGCAGAGAATCAGGGAGGCGTTTGAGATGGGAAGTGGCACCACCCAGCCCCACTGCCAAGCACTGAGACAGTCGGTTGGCGGAGGCCTGTGGGAGCCCAGAAACCCTCTGCTCCAGGAGGCGGGTCTTGCCTTGATTGAAGTGTGGCAAACATCAGACCATACTGTGCACACAGAATCACATCCATTGCAAAGTGAAATCAGAGATCTGGCAAAAGTTATTTCAGAACATTGATGCAAATGATGGGGAGCTTCTGAGATCATGGGCAAAGCCTCTGAGTGGTTAAAGATGGGGAAAGAAAATCTGTGGTTTTCAATTCTATGTATTCATAATGAGAAAAAGAATTGTGGTTAACAATTCTATGGACACTTCAAAAGAGGACACTTTGATTAAAAAGAGGCCACTGTGAAAATTGATAGAACACTCGAATAATTTTTCAAAATTTCCTGTTAATGATTGTGCTGTAAGTGTGAAATTTAAAATGATGGATTTGTTGAGACTGTAGTATATGATTCTGGGAAAAAATTATGCCAACTTCCTTACACTCCCAAGAGTTGTTCCTTCTAAGAGTTGGTGCAGGGTTTTGATAATATTCCATACTTAATTTAAAACATAAGCTAACAAAATTGTTTTTATTATTGAAATATTTTTCAAGACGTAGTTTCAACCAACTCCTTTGTGGCAGTTTCTATGAAAGTAGGCCCAGATTTTGCATAGGTTCCTTCTGAGCGACTTTTTGTTCTGCTTTCTGATACCAAGTAGCTTTCTGTGTTGATCTCATTTTGTTTTGTGAGGATTAAATGAGATAACACATGCACACTGCTTCTGTGCCTGGGTCTCTATCCTCCCGGTACTTCCATGGACACTGGAGAGCCAGGGGAACTTGCTGGTGGCTGGAATGGGCCATCTGAGCATCTCCATCCTTTTATTGGTCCTTGCCACCACCTAGAGCCATGACACTTGCTTGGTGGTACCTTAGCCTGGACTGTCTTCCATAGGTAGCACCCTACTTACCAGCCCTTCACCATCCTGGGTTTCTCCTTCTCAGCGTCCTGCTCTTTGCTTGGTATGAATTCCTGCTCATGTGCTGAAGGGGAAAGACGGATTATAGATCATGACCTATGGGGATGATGTCTTACTGTGGCTGTTCTACTCATTGATAGAATTTAATAGGTCTGGGAGGGTTGAGTATGAAGAAAGGATATTTCGGGCTCAGATGCCCTTAGTTCCTTCAAATTGCACAACACGATTTCTTGACTCTAGACTCAGAACTGAGGTTTGTCTTCACTGGCCCTGTGAGAGCTGATCCACCTTAGACAACTTATAATTTAAGATTCTTGAAAACAGAGGGGAAGTGACTTACACAAGGTCTGGCCATTGGCTATGGTGTCAGTGTAGGGACCAGAATCTGGAGCTCCCATCCTTTGGTGTAGTGTTAGAACTATACTATGTTGTGTGTTCATATGAATTGTCCTGAAATATTTCATGTTTTATAGTATTTAAATTTTTTTCTCATTATGAATACATCCTATTGCACAGCTGAAAATCTGGTTGAAAAAAGTCTAGAAGTCATTAGATCAAAATTTCAGAAGCCAGGAATCTTACATTCTACAGCTTAGAGTTTGGGTGTCAGAATAACAGACTAGTAAAACATGCTGTCTCTGACAGTCCCAGCCACTCGTGACCTTGTGCAAGTTGTGGCAGGCATGTCACTTAACCTCTCCACACCCATGTTCCTGCCTATGTAAAACCTTAGTATCTTGAGTCATAAAGATTTAGAGTGTATGACTCTTTAAATCTTAGCATTACCAAGTCATACATTAGTCAACTGGTTCATAGGTTCTTAAATGGAATTCAAACTTCATTGTATCATCTTTAATGGCCAAAATGGAAAAGACAGGAATGATTAGGATGGCTTTCATTTTTCCCATTCATTCTTCCATGCATCCATCCATGCATCCATCCATTCATCTATCCAAGCATGCATTCCCTCATGCATTCACACTCTTATTCATTCATCATGCATTTCCGTATGCATGCATCTGTTAACCCATATCTAAATCCTCCTCTTCGACAGGCCCTGGGAAGATGACCCCATCCTCAAGGAGTTCTCAGGCTCCCATTTGTAGACTTCCTAGAGTAATTGTCTGTTTTCTCTGACTGTGTCAGTTTCCCCTGCAGTGACAATGTCTCAGGCTTCAATGTCCTCGGACTTGGTAGCAATTACTTGCCACGTGCAGAGATTCTATCCACAAAGTGTGCAACTCACCTGGCTGGAGAACTGCGATACATTCAAGGGAGCTGAGCCATCCACACCCAAGAAGAATGTTGATGGGACCTACACCCTGGAAAGCTTGCAATGGGTGAATGCATCAGGGCACGGGTCTGAGAGGGTATTCACCTGTAAGGTACAGCATGAGGCACAGCCTCCCATCTGGGCCAACCTCATACTGTCCCCAGCAGCCCACGGGACATACAAGCCCATTGAAAACCCAGGTAAGCTCACTTCTTCTCCTATGAGCAGCTGGGTCACCTCCCTCTTTTGAGTGGGTTCCAAAAGGCATAGGGAGGGGGCATAATGGTTAAAGTCTTGCCCAACTTAAGAGTCTGTGATTCCTTGATAACCAGACTGGCTTCTGGCCTGCCTCTTCCTTTAGATGTGGCCATCATGAAAGGTTCTTTCATTTCTGAGGAGAGAACAGTTTCCCAGCTCAACCTCCTTGAAAATTCCCAAGAGAGCTCAGCTTAGGATGCTCACTAGTTATTCTGAGATGGTCTTTAGCAATGATCTCTTGTTAAAATAGTGTCTTTGTGTTATATGAAGAGACTTGTCCACCAGCCTTACCCTGTGAACCCCATGATGTCTGCTCTAATGACAGAGCAGGCTTTTTCACTATATTCTTGTCCAGGTACATAACCTCTCTGTGCTTCCGTATACTCATCTGTAGATGAGTCTAATGTAGTGTAGATGGGTCACATGAAGGCTCCTAACTAATAGAGTCCTTATGAGGATTAAGTGCATTAATATATGTAAACTCTACATATGTGTCTACAATAAATGTCAGCTACTATTACTACTTGAATTCCAACAAAATTATTTCAAAGGTTAGTTTACAGTAATTATAGCTTTGTAAACTCAGGGAACTGAGTCAATTATCCTCTCAGAGCCCCAGATAATTCATCTATAAATGGTGTTAATGATACCAACCTCCTAAGATTGTATAAAAGTTTAATTTGAATGACCACAGGCCTGGAGGACACCCAGCTTTATACTTCCAGAGGTTTTTACCTCTGGACATTGACACATTAGCTGGCTGTGTGATAGATGTTCAAAATCAATATTTGTTGACTTAAATTCAAGGTGATGCTAAAAGATCAAGATCATCACTTATTTCCAAGCGGAAGCTGAGTGTAGAGAAAAGAACATGGGCTTGAAACCAGATAGAATTGGGTGCAATTAGTGGTTCTGAAACTTCCTGGCCACATGACATCAGAGGAGGTATTTAAACTCACAGAGCCCCAGTTGATGTCTCCTTCTGCCCATCTGGTATTTAGGTCCAGAGACACCTGCCCTTATCTTTGTGGCTTTCCTCCTGGGCCTCAAGCTGCTGCTGGTGACGAGTTTCACAGTCACCTACATCCACAGGTGGTGGAACCTGTAACAGGTAAATTGGGGGGAGGCCTTAGTCATGAGGGAGGAGGTCAGGACCATTGTCAGGGGCTGGCAAGAGGAGGCCAGGGCATACCCACAAAATCATGTGGTTCCCACAAGGTGATCCAGCTTCAAGAAGTTTGTGAACACTTATTTTCTCCAAATGGCTCTTGGAATTCTAAGAGCTTTTAACTCTCATGCATTTTGTAGTGCCCTGGTGTTTGAAGGTTTTCAAATTCAGTTCCTTGGGACCCCAGAGTGTACAAGTGGGATGAAGGCCAAAGCTCTGAGACCCAAACTTTAAAGAGTCCCCCCATAAACTACTATATATTTTGGTTTTTATATATCTTTGGAATGAATAAGAAAGTATTGGCAATATCAACTAATACAGTGGTTCTCAACCTTCCTAATGCCGCAACCCTTTAATACAGTTCCTCATGTTGTGGTGACCCCCAATTTCATTGTTAAAAATTGAACATAATTAAAGCATAGTGATTAATCACAAAAACAATATGTAATTATATATGTGTTTTCCGATGGTCTTAGGCAACCCCTGTGAAAGGGTCGTTTGACCCCCAAAGGGGTCGTGACCCACAGGTTGAGAACCGCTGAACTAATAGAACGTTGCAGGAGCTGACTAGAGGCAAGGAATGGAAGAGAGTTCAGATCTCAGGAAGAACTAATATATAGAACTTTGCAGGAGCTGACTAGAGAGAGGCAAGGAATGGAAGAGAGTTCAGATCTCAGGAAGAAGTGTTGGGGTGTAGTGTTTAGGGGCTTCATTTCCGATCTACATCGTGAACTCAGGCCAACCAGAATGCCTGTCACTTAGCAGATGCTCAATAAATGTTTAAGAAATGAATGAATGAATGTTTTTCCCTACAGCTCCTGCCTTCACCAAAGGGGTCAATTGGAGGGAAGAAGCTGCAAGGACCTGCCCCTTACCCGAGACCCCTGCTCCTCACTCTGCCAGCCCCACCTGCACAGGAGCTGCCTCCACACACCCTCCTGATGTTGCTTCTCTCTCTGATAATAAAGCTGAGTCAAGGATGGCCTTCGGTCACGGAGACTCAGGGATGTCTGGACCTTGATGCATTGAGCTTCACACTGGCCCTGCCTCCACCCAAACCAGAACCGGGAACATGAAGAGAACAAGTTTCACCTCCCCTCATCAGAAACAACCCTTAATATTCCGAGCAGATTTTACTTTTATCCAGAGCTCTGCCAGTATACTTTTATTTTAACAAACAGATATTTGAAATCACTAAGTTAAATAAACATTTTACTATTTTGAAATATATAAAGAACTAGAGTGGTATCCATGGACCTACCATCTCTCTTTGCAAAACATTCACATAATTCCATTATGTTCTCTGTTCCTTTTGAAAGCACTGTCCTAAATTGTGTGTTAATCATTTTCTAGCATGATTTTATACTTTTACAACATATATGTATGTGAAATGCCAAGGCCAGCGTGGCTTTCGGGTTCAAAGGCTTGGAGAAAGAGCTGATGCACAAATTGACACACAAGACAAGAAAAATTAATTTTGAAATTATGGGGGGAAGCCAGGGGAAAACTCCACTGGAGAAGTCAAGTTCCACTGAGTCTCCGTTCCTGTCTGCTTTTATTTACGAGAATACACAATTGCCTTTTAGGAATGCAAACAGACATATCAATGGTAATGTTTAGTAAACAGTAAGATTATCAGGGTTTGGGGGAGTTTGCTTTAGGCCACTGAGTCAGCAGTAGGTAATAAAATGCAAATTTACCCTGTGAATATCAAAGCCCAAACTCGGCCTTCTAGTGGACTTCTCGTATTTATATTAATTACTGTTGGCCTTGGTTTCCAGCATATGTAAATCCTTAAGCAATATGTAATATTGCTTTGCATGTTTTAAATTTTAGGTAACTGCTATTATACTGTATACAACATTCTGGAACTTTATTTGTATGCTTCACACAGTTCTGTGTGTTTTAATAATGTTGATATATGTATCAGTAACTCCATTTTATTAATTTTCCATGCTCTACAGTTTTCTATTGTAAGATATGCTGCAATTTATAGATTCTTCTCAAGATGGTAGTAAAGCTCTATCTAAGGTTTTGCTAGTGCAACTTTGCAACCAACATTATATCTTTGCTTCCCTGGCACATATGCAGAGCCCTTCTGGTTCCTCTTGTTTGGGCCATGAGCAGCAGTGTTGTTATCATTTGGGAGCTTTTGTTTTATAAAGAAAAGTTTTCAGTTTTTTATGGAGTTTTGCTCTTTGCATGTACGCCTTTGACCTAGCCATGTTTTTTCTGGTGTGTGTGTCTGTGTGTCTTAGAAACGGTAAGTCTTTTTCTCAATTACATTTGATGTTAAACATTATTGGTTTCAGGTGTACATTATAGTAGTTAGACATTATCCATGGACCTACCATCTCTCTTTGCAAAACATTCACATAATTCCATTATGTTCTCTGTTCCTTTTGAAAGCACTGTCCTAAATTGTGTGTTAATCATTTTCTAGCATGATTTTATACTTTTACAACATATATGTATGTGAAATGCCAAGGCCAGCGTGGCTTTCGGGTTCAAAGGCTTGGAGAAAGAGCTGATGCACAAATTGACACACAAGACAAGAAAAATTAATTTTGAAATTATGGGGGGAAGCCAGGGGAAGACTCCACTGGAGAAGTCAAGTTCCACTGAGTCTCCGTTCCTGTCTGCTTTTATTTACTAGAATACACAATTGCCTTTTAGGAATGCAAGCAGACATATCGATGGTAATGTTTAGTAAACAGTAAGATTATCAGGGTTTGGGGGAGTTTGCTTTAGGCCACTGAGTCAGCAGTAGGTAATAAAATGCAAATTTACCCTGTGAATATCAAAGCCCAAACTCGGCCTTCTAGTGGACTTCTCGTATTTATATTAATTACTGTTGGCCTTGGTTTCCAGCATATGTAAATCCTTAAGCAATATGTAATATTGCTTTGCATGTTTTAAATTTTAGGTAACTGCTATTATACTGTATACAACATTCTGGAACTTTATTTGTATGCTTCACACAGTTCTGTGTGTTTTAATAATGTTGATATATGTATCAGTAACTCCATTTTATTAATTTTCCATGCTCTACAGTTTTCTATTGTAAGATATGCTGCAATTTATAGATTCTTCTCAAGATGGTAGTAAAGCTCTATCTAAGGTTTTGCTAGTGCAACTTTGCAACCAACATTATATCTTTGCTTCCCTGGCACATATGCAGAGCCCTTCTGGTTCCTCTTGTTTGGGCCATGAGCAGCAGTGTTGTTATCATTTGGGAGCTTTTGTTTTATAAAGAAAAGTTTTCAGTTTTTTATTGAGTTTTGCTCTTTGCATGTACGTCTTTGACCTAGCCATGTGTCTTTTTTTTGGTGTGTGTGTCTGTGTGTCTTAGAAGTGGTAAGTCTTTTTCTCAATTACATTTGATGGTAAACATTATTGGTTTCAGGTGTACATTATAGTAGTTAGACATTTATGTAATTTACAAAGTGATCCCTCCAATAATTCAGTACATACCTGGCACCATTCATAGCTATTACAATGTTATTGACTATACTAGTGGCCCGATGCACGAAATTTGTGCACATTAAAAGGGAATTAATTAGAGGAAATATTTTAATATTGCAATTTGCCCTTTCTCTATAATAGAAGTGTCAGAGATGAGAGAAAAGTAGTAAAATGTATATGAAAATCTCCCTCTTGTCAGAGTCTGGGGTGTTCCTTGGGACCCAGAGTCAAGTCCTTGTCCACCCACGCGCGCCTCGAAATCACACGAGACCCAGACCCGGCCAGCCCCACCCCCATTGGGCTAGATCCAGACTCAGTGGGTCCCACCTTTGTTAAGCCCTGCTGGGCGGGGTCGCAGCCTCAGGTCTCCTGGCCCAGCACCATGCGGGGGGCACATCCTGAGGTCACCCATCAAGCCCCACCAGGCAGGGGGCGCAGCCTGAGGTCCCCCAGCCTGGGTATGCAGGGGGCATACCTTAAGGTCCCCCATAAGGCCCTGCCAAGCTGGGGGCGTGGTCTTGTACTTCTTAATCCCTTCACCCTTTTCACTCAGTTCCCTGACCCTGTCCCATTTGGCAGCCATCAGTTTGTTCTTTTTCTTCCACAAAGATTATTTACCCAGGGCTCAATGATTGGCGCTGCCACCTTGCCATATATCACGTTTCCATAAATATGTGGTTTTCTTTGTGAGGTTTCTGTTGCATTGAGCTGCTTGTCTATCTCTCTGTCAGAATAACCCTGTCTTAATTAGGGAAGCTTTATAATAATGTTGGACCTCTTTTGGGAAAATCTTCCTACCTTTTCTTGTCAGGCTATTCTTGACCCAAATGCATTTTAGAATGACTGTCAAGTTTCACCAAAAAGTCCTCTTAGAAACATTATATTATTTCATTGAATTTATATAGTATTAATTCAGGCAAACTGATATGTCTTCAACATTGAGTTTTCCCATTCATGGATATAATATACCTCTATTTATTTAGGTTTTTAAAAGACTTTTACAATTTCATGTGTCCCCCCCAACACACACACCAATAAGGTTATTATGTATCTCTAATTAGAGCTATCTCTAACACTTTCTAGTTTATAGACTCTTTTAAAAGCATAATTACTGTTTTTAGTGGTTTTAGACTACTCTTTAGGATGGTAATTGATTTTGATCATCAATTTTACAACCAACACTTATAAAACTCTTACTAATTATAATAGTACTAGAGGTCCAGTGCATGAAATTTGTGCACACAAGGGGGGGGCTCAGCCCTGCCTGCACCCTCTCCAATCCGATACCCCTTGGGGTCTGTCCTTCTCACAATCCGGGACCACTGGCTCCTAACCGCTCATTTGCCTACCTGCCTGATTGCCTCTAACCGCCTCTGCCTGCTGGCCTTATTGCCCCCTAACTGCTCCCCTGTTGGCCTGATCACCCCCTAACTGCTCCCTGACCAGCCTGATCGCCCCCTAAGCCCCTAACTGCTCTCCCCTCCCAACCTGATTGCCCATAACTGCTCTCCCCT